AGAGACGTCTGAATCACCGGGCAAAGCTACAAAGATATAACGAGCCTAAAGTATTCCCGAGAGCTGGGTGTTGGTGTTCGGGAATCTGCAGCAGATGTCAAACAAGTTCTGAGCACATCTCAAAAACAAACAGAAACACCATTAACAACACATGCATCCAATCAACAGGCAGCAAACACTCCAGCTCGTCACAATGTAACAAAATAACAGTAAATCTGCCAACTCCTCCAAAAGAGCAGCGAGTAACAGCAACTGAGCTGTTTGTGTTTGTTTGCCCACTGAAGCATGGAGCCCAGCATGTGTCGCAACACAGACGGAAAAGTGTTTGCAGGAGGATCCAGCGGGATTCTACATCCCATAAACTGCTACATGCATCTGCAAATAAACTGCACGCATGCGTCTGTGCGTTTGCACGCTCCAGATCTCAGAGAGGGGGGGGATGACACAGTGAGGAAATGCTCCGTCCCAGCAGGCAGACTAAACATTCAGGAGGAGAGGGTCGCAACAAAACGAGAGCCGTGGCGTCCCGGGGGAGCTGGAAGGAATTTTCTGTGGTGCCAAAATATTGCAACCCCGTTGGCTGCAGTCTGGTACCATTTCACCGTGCTGCTGCCGCCACTGCGGTCTCCAAGGTTCCCAATGTGTGACTGGAAGTGCGTTTGTGTGTTCAGCACTAACTTGTGGATGATGTGATGAGAATTTTATGACTGTAATAACGCCGTGTTTGTGTCAGCACTAACCTTCGACGGTCCTGGATGTTCCCAGATCCAAATCGTCTCTGGTTCCATTTTGCGAGTCGAGGTATGTGGCCGGGACCCAGCCCTGCTCCTCCGCTGTGCTGACGAACCACCAACCTGAGGAGAACACATTAGTGCTGTCAGTAAAGCCTGACGGATGTCGGTGAGCACACCAGCTCGGGGACAATTTGCACCAAAAAGAGACGTTACTGGATACAGCCCACGTCGAAGTGGGAGAACAGCACGTCTAATAGGCTGCTCCTGTCTGTGTGAGTGTCAAAGGGACATCTAAAGGGAGCTCAGAGTTTCACCTTTCTGGAAAGTGGTGTTCATTACTAAACCAGACACTGAAAGACACAGAAGTGCTGGGAGTGCTGGGGCTAGGAGGAACTCATCACCGGTGGTTTAAAACAGCACTCGGTGACACTGCTGAAGATCAACCTGCCAGGACGTGTTGGGCTTTTAAAGACACTGCTACCCTTCACTGTGAATCACAGTGAAACATGCTGTGCTGCCTGTAGTCCATGCATGGTCCATGCATGGTCCCTCCAACTGATGATTCACCCACACAAACAATGTGCACCTCCCGAGTTCCCCTTTGTTCCTGCAGCTGCTGTTTAGCTTCTCTTTCACCTCCAGGTTTGGTTTGAAAAGCACGATTTCCAACAGTAAACAGGAGTTTGAACCCTGTGACGACCCCCCAGAGGAGGCTTTAACCCTGTGAGGTAAACTTGGATCACAGGTTCACTGTGTGATAGGAAAGTCAAGCTTCGTATGAGATGAACTGTTACTTTCGTGTTGAGCAGCGGTGCCAGAGGAACATTACTTTCTTCATGGCTTGTTAGCGTCTACGATGCCGCTCAAGCTGACTGCCACGAGCTAGCTTGTAGCCTTCGCTCCGTTTTGGTGTTTACAAACAAAACGCTGGACAGGATTTCACTGGGAAAGTTTTTGGGGTTTTCCAATTTATATTTGGAAGACTTTGTGAAATATTTCAGGTGAAACAAAAAGCTGCTTTTGGTCCTGGTAAATCAGGAGTTACTGGATTCAGCGTTTGTGAACTGGGAACATTGGTGCCAAATTTTGTGCCAATCAGGCCTTTGTGGGCGTGCACATATGTGTAAACAACAAAAGCCAACACAATTCATCCTTCATTTACCCAACTTAACTTAAAGCCACAGCAGAAACGTCACAAACTTACAGACCCTGGTTGGTCCATCTGCACAGGAGGGCAGCCTCCTCCAAGAACGAGGTCAGAAACTTGATTATCTACGTTTGAAAGGAGTGAGTGAAAGGCTTCCACTCACAAATGGCCTAAATCATGGCGTAACATCACCCCGTGGCATTCCCGTCTTCACCCACACCCTGTGGCTGCACAGCAGAGATCACGTCTTGATTGCTACTGACGAATGAGAAGTTTGTGGTCACGTCTACGTTACGCTGTTACAGCGCTCGCTGAGCTGAGCTGACACAATTGCAGAAACACATGACACATTGGGCTGCGACCAAAACCAAAAGAACCCAATCCATTTCCATAGATCACAGTCTGACAGCTAGCATGCGTCTGTAAGCAAAGGCTGTCGTCAGACTGTAGTGACGACATCGAACGCACTAAACCCCTGTTAGCCATCTAAAAGCGAGGAGACGTGGCTCCGTTAGTGTGCTGCATGGCTGCAACCCAACGTGCGACACATTCTTCCAGCCTATACAGGCAAGAGTGAGGTCATACGTGACAGCATTTCACTCCTTGCTGTGGAAAGTACAACAATAGTGTGGATGTCCTGGGTCTGTCTGGTCTAATGTGAGTGTGCAGTGGAAGTGATAATGTAAAAGCAGTGGTTAGCAGTGGTTAGCAGTGGTTAGCAGTGATTAGCAGTGATTAGCAGTGGTTATAAAGGAGCTAACAGCAACAAACTGTTTTTTTCTTTTCACAAACGAGTCCAACAATTAAGTCATCGCTGCTCCGCTGTATTTACAGCCATATGGCTCAGCTCTCTAATGCGGTTGGAGAAGCCTGGGTGAATCAATTCATCACGCCCTTTTTTTATTACCCGGCACGACACCAATCACAATAATATGTGTTATGAATGATGCGGAAAATATGAACGCAACATCGAGCTGTATCATAGGGAAAGTAGCAGTAATGGCAATGAGAGGTAGGTGGTAGAAGTGAAGACGTGTGTTCGCAGCAACAGAGAGTGAGCATTGGTTTCAACTTCACAGCTCTGATAGGAAGTAATAGTCACAGCTAGGATTCAAATCATTTCAACTATTAAACTGAGCCTACAGTCACATCATTTGGACTAATGGAAAAACACGTCGCCACTGCCGGGAAAATCCACTCTTAGTTGTAGAGTTATGACAAAAATAATGCATTTTCCTCTACTTCAGGCTGAATGGGATTAAGTCATGATAAAGACACAGTCTTCTGGAAATTACTGGGTTACCTTATGTCATATTTTAGCAGTAAAATGAATTAATATTAGACCGCATTATACTTTCTTTTATACAGAAAACAGGAAGCACGGTGACAGAATCAATACTCAGTGCAGCACTTTGAATTTAAATGATCGTCTCACGTAACAGAGCAGACATGATGCTGTTTAAGTCAGAACAGCATGAATGGATGGAGGAGCAGCAGAAGCTAATGTGGGTTGCAAAGCGACTTGCAGGAAATGAGTCCAGGTTAAAGGTCAACCTGCTTGATTTTGATAAATATACACCAGCGGTCCCCAACCCCCGGGCCACAGACCGGTACCGGGCCGCGAGAGTTAACTCAGTTTCCCCGGGTCTTTTCCCGTGTTGTAGTCGTGCATCTTATTTTGAAAGAAATGTTTACGCGTTACCATAGCGACCAGAGATCATTAAGGGGCAGAGAGGAGGATGTTACTCTCA